TGCTAGGTATTTCAATTTGATTGTGGAATTCATCTCCGGCCTCTACAAATCATTCTTGCTTTCCTCATTTTTGTTAAGGGTAATATCATTCTTCTAGTGTGAACATTTCTCACGATAAAAGTCACATTCCTTTTCTTTCTTTCTCCCAGGCCTTCTAATCAGACAAAGCTCTAAATTCTCCTAATTTTCACTTTATAATATCTTACTTCTTTTCCCTTTAGCACCACCTTAATTCTGCACCAATAACCTGAATCCTGGTGTCATTTCAATGGAGAAATAGATTGGTCTAGCTAAGAAAATAATTTCCACATAATTTTATGCTCTGTATCTTTTTACATGCTCCCCATAGAATGGTTCCTGATAGAATATATATTACAATTTACTTGGTTATTGTAAGTCTTACAACTCTAATTCTAGACTTGGCTCCTTTCAGCTTGCCTATTAATAATTTGCAGTCAGTTTTGGGTGATTTAGATGCATTCACCCCTATCACAGACAGCAGATAAGAACTCTATATTATGTTTGGCCTCTATAGACAGCTTGTCCAGGTAAAAGAACTTTGCTAAAATTGTCAATTATCATCTTGGCACATACCTGATACCAATTCTATCGTATTATCCTGCAGGTCCATTTTGCAACTAATTTATCTTGAAAGATTCAACAAGGAGTAAAATTGCTTATCATAGATGCCCCATGAGCATTTCATTAACTCCTCCCCACACCCTGCTCACCATGGCTACACTAGCCGGCCATTGAGAACATCAGCCTTAAAATTTTCCCATGTTAAAATTGCAGCTAAGCCGTAGTAACAGGGCCTAAATTATCTGTGAATCTATATGCTGAAGTAGAATTAAATTGTATGATGAACTTATCTATCAAAAAGCATTTCCTGCTAAAACCAGTTTGGCTCAGTGGATAGAGTGTCAGCCTTCAGACTGGAGGGTCCTGGGTTCGATTCTGGTCAAGGGCACGTACCTTGGTTGCAGGTACATCCCCAGTAGGTGGTGTGCAGGAGGCAGCTGATGGATGTTTCCAACTCTCTATCCTCTCTCTTACTCTCTGCAAAAATCAATAAAATATATTTAAAAATAAAAATATGCAATTCAGGGGTTAAGGGATTGAGCTAAAAAGAGGGAACTCAAAGATATGGACAACAGTGTGGTGATGGTGGGGATGGAAGAGTGCATAGAGGGAATAAATGGTGATGGGAAAAAAACATTGAAAAAAAAATGCAATCCATTAGTTTTTCCAGGTATGTTAAACTTTAGCCTCAGAGGTAGCCAGGTCATCAGGGAGCTATATAACTGGTCTCTAGCGTAAATTTCCAATAAACTGCCATTTGTGTAAATGCCATTATTTACCATGAATCTATAAGAAAATGACTTCAATTCATGATTGTATACATTTATTTATAGCTACAAATTATTCAGTTCTTATTCTGTCAGGCATCATGCTAGGTGCTATCAGTGTATCATTTAAATTTAATCATCCCAATCATCTCTTGGGAGTAAATAGTATCCCCATTTTATAGTCAGGATACTGAAGCTCAGACAGGATACATGGTTCAGAAATGGCAGTATTAGGATTCAAATCCAGATTTATCTGATTTTTAAATCTGGTGGCCTTACCCACCAGGAAAGCTACTGGGAGTTTTCCATTATATCACACTATACAGCCTAAAGCATCTTTGCCAAGCATTTATTTTTAATTTTATTCTGGTTTTATCTTATGCTTTTTATCACTTCACTGGTATTTTCAACTATTTACTTTTATACCATTATAATATATTTTTAATAAACTGCTTAAGATCCTTTTGGATTTATTTTCCATTGAGGTATACTAAAGAAAAAGAAATTAAAAAGCCCATCTGAAATCCTGTAATTATTACTTTTATTTAATGTTGGCTGGATTTTTCTTGTGTTTCCTTGCCTTTATTAAATTTTCAGGTTTATGTGTACACACTGCTTAAGAAATAACTGAGGAAAGCTTTGTATTTTCCACTGTCCTCTGGTGCTTGTAAACACAATGAGTACATTTTACCCTAGGTTTGCACAGTCAACACCCATTTAGCCTTCATATACACAATCAGATATTTGAGGAAAGGGAGTTTGAAACAGTGAAAAGTTTATAATAAAAGCTATTGTGAATATTCCATTAGTTTGCCCCCGCTTTGAGGGAACAGGGTATGACACCATTTACAGAATCAACCAAGTCTACTTATTGGTGCCCTGTAACCAGATCTTTTACTGTCCGTAAGATTCTGTTCTAAAATCCTATTAGGCATTTGTCTACAGGTGATTTCCTCATGAATCACACTTGTTACTTTTAGTTCTTCTTCTGTACCAGGCTGTCTTTTCTAGATGGCCCAAGGTCCTCTGTGTTTCCGATGAGCTGATGTCAGCTAGCCAAGGAGAACATTCTGCCTCCCTGGTTTCAAGGGGTTTTCTTGGTAACGCTGAGTGTGGGCCAACATGGAACACTGGTTTTCCCACTACCTGCTCTCTTGGCTCTGTGTGGTGATTTGGTGTCTAGTTTTATGAGTTCATCCCAGTTGTTCACTCTAGCCACGCTTTTGCTGCCAAATTAAATTCTTGCTTTGTTTTGCTGCCCCTTATCAAAGAACTCATCTCACACTGTCCCACCTTCGCTCTTGAGAAGTGCTCTGCTCGGCAGCCCTTCCACTAACAGGTTTAGAGTTTAATTAGCCGAGATACAGAAACTGTTTCCCACTTAAATTCCCAGATGGCAATTTGGCAAAATGACATCTGCTAGAGTTAGGGTAAAGGTGGAGGAGAAGAACAAATTAGGGATCATTTCATGCTAGTTGGGTATTGTTACGTGAGGGCGGTCAATGTTTCACTTCCCCATTTTTAGATTCAGATTGTTAGTGCAGCTAAAGTAGGAACAAGTGCTATAGAAATAAAGAGAAATTACTTAAAAATTCTTAGAAAATTTTTTATTTCAAATTATGCACACATAAAAAAAGGCTAGAGAAAATATTTATTTGCTTGCTTTTTACATCTTACTCTTTCAAATAAGGTGTTTTTCTCGTTATAAAGTGACTAGAGGCCTAGTGCATGAAATTCATGCCCTTGGGAGGTCCCTTAGCCCAACCTGCACCCTCTCACAGAGCAACAGGCCTAAGATGGCAATCAGACATCCTTAGTGCTGCTGTGGAGGCAGAAGCTCCCAGCGGTGAGCTTGGCTTCTGTGGGAGCACACTGACCATCAGGGTGCAGGTCTTTCATTGAGCTTCTGCCCCTGGTGGTCAGTGCACATCATAGTGACTGGTTGTCTCGTTCAGTTGATTTGCATATTAGCTTTTTATTATATAAGATACTTATATAAGAGACCCAGTGCATGAAATTCATGCATTTGGGGGTGGGGGGTTTGCTGGCCTGCACTCTCTCAGTCCGGGAACCCTTGGGGGATATCGTCCTAAGCCGGCAGTCAGAAATCCTTATCATTGCTGTGGAGGTGGGAGAGGCTCCCATCATTGCTGCTGTGCTAGCCATCCATGAGTCCAGCTCAGGGTTTCTGGCTGAGTGGCACTCTTCCTGTGGGAGTGGACTGACCACCAGGGGGCAGCTCCTTCTTTGAGCGTCTTCCCTCTGGTGGTCAGTGCATGTCATAGCAACCAGTCGTTCTGCCATTCAGACAATTTGCATATTAGCCTTTTATTATATAGGATGATTATAATTGTTCTATTTTATTTTCAGTTATTGTATCTAATTTATAAATGAAACTTTATCATAGGTATGTATGTATAGGGAAAAAAATAGTATATGTAGGTTTCAGGCATAGATGGAGGTCTATGGAAAGGGGAGACTACTGAATATTGAAACTTTCTCACTAAAACCAGGTTTCACAACCTACCAAATTTTTAAGTCCAAATGGTCTATAAAGTTACAACTGATGTTTATGGGACATTAATGAGTTCATATGTGATCAGTTAATAGGAGAAAGAGCTCAGTGTAACATGGAGTTGTTCTGGTTTCTTGGCATGGGGCTCTGGAATAGAAGTAAAATTTTACCCTTTAACATGAAAGCAAGTTCTCATTCGGTGCAGGTCTATTTTTAGAGAAGCCTCAGGTGCCTACAGGGGGGAAGCATACTCCCAGTCTTGCATGACTCTGGGCCCCAGCAGGTTGCACTTCCTTCTGTGATCAGAGCTCCTTACATCTGCTTTGCTCAGCAAAGGCAAATATTCCCATTTTTGTGCATTTTGCACCATCTTCTGAGATAGCCTCCATTACATGTTGAGTTGCCTGTCTGCGTAGTTATCCAGATGATATCTGGGGGCTTCAATTATTGTTTTAGTTAGCATAAGTTTTGAGACGTTTATTATTAAACTTATTTTTACTGCAAACTTTTTTATTTTTTTAATTAAAATGTAGTTAATATACAATATTATTTTGGTTTTGGTGTACAACGAAGTTATTCAACATTAATACACATAATAAAGTAAATAAGCTGTTATTTTTAACGGACATTTTTTTAAAATGCATCATTTTTCAGGAACATGTATCTTGTGTTACAGTAGAAATCCTGTACTTTGCACTTAGCAGATGCTTAATAAATGCTGTCAGATGATATATAATTAACTATATCACAAGAATTTTCTTTTCTTTTTCTTTTTAAAATACATTTTATTGATTTTTTACAGAGAGGAAGAAGGATAGAGAGTTAGAAACATCGACCAGCTGCCTCCTGCACACCTCCTACTGGGAATGTGCCCGCAACCAAGGTACATGTCCTTGACCAGAATCAAACCCGGGACCTTTCAGTCCACAGACCAACGCTCTATCCACTGAGCCAAACTGGTTTCGGCTCACAAGAATTTTAGACAATGGTTCCAAGGAATGATTGTGTTGACAATGAACCAAACTGCAAGAGCTTAGCAAGATCATTTGACTTTTCTAGAATATAAAATCTTTAAGTCATTTTAGTTTGCATGATATACTTGTCACTACTGTTTTAGAGAAACAGAAGCTAAGTCGTTTTCAAAGACTGATGAACAATCACCCATTATTTCTTGAAGCTGAATAATAGGAAACTGTACTTGTTTTTCAAACCATTTGGCAACTGTAAGAAGCTGCTGGTCACAAAACGCACGTCCAATAAACTGTAGTCCTATTGGCAACCCTTGGTTGGAGAGGGCCATAGGGACACTCACTGCTGGCAACCCTGAGTACAAGAAAGAAACCCATTAGTTGATTAATTGTCCATCCTAAGAAGCAGAGACCCCTTCCACTTTCCAGTGCTAGCAGGACCACGATAAGGATTAAAAAATAACAAAAAGTATGATATACATGCTTTTGCACCTTTCTTCATTCACTTCATGATAAATGTTGAAAATCACTGTTATTGGAACATCTTCATTCCTTCTTATAGCTGCATTTATTCCATTATGTGGATTTACCATAATTTATCCAGCCATTCTTCTACAGTTCGGCATGCAGGTTGTTTTCTGTGCCTAGCTATCAATATTTCACGCTATAGCCTAGTGAATTACTGTGTTCATGTTTTCTGGTATTCTTGAAAGTTTCTCAACAAAAAAGGATTGTTTCACCAAAGGATAAATAAATATGTAATTAGCGAATGCCAAATTCCCCTCCAAAAAGCTGTACCATTCTGAACTCCCATTAGCAAGATGAGGGATTTTTTCCTGCAGCTTTGCTTATAGGCTATATTGTTGAGCTTGTAAATTTCCCCAATTTGTTAGATGAGAAATAGTAGCTCAGGTTTGGGGCAGAGAGAGTATAAAATCTTGGGACATCTTGTTATATCATAAAAAAAGGAAGTTTTCAAAAATTACTGGGGACAAGTCTAAAGGACACATGCAATTTGAAGGGGGCTCCTATTGACTAAATCTGGGGCAGTATGAGCAACAAAAACAATGATAGTAATTGCTTATATTACATTGAATTAAAAAAAAAAAGAAAGCTGATCTTTAGAGAAGACTGCTAACTAATATACAAAGATGGAATGCTATAATTAGAAAGGTCAGTGTTTTGTAATTTTCTAGATATTAACTCAGGCAGGCAGCATCAATGGATGCTAAAACTGAGTTCAAGTTTATTGGGGATTCGGATATTCACATGGTCTCAAAGTATCACTTCACCAAATGCTGACAAGTGATAAAAGGAAAAATGTAACTCTACAAGGAAAACATCTGCAGTTACTTCCTTAACTAAGGGTTCAACGTAGTTTCCAAAAGCAGAGCAAACTAATGTTAACTGTTTCCTGACATCAAGAATATGTAGTATTTCTGTCAAAAATGTTGAACTCAACACAATCTCAAGGAAGCAATCTGACAATTCACTTCAGGACAAGTGAACTATATTCTTCAAAAGACAATGTCACTTAAAGGTAGGGGATTTCTTATCAGAAGTAAGCAGGCTAGAAAAAAGTAGCACAACATTTTTTTAAGTGCTAAAGAAAAGAACTGTCAAAACAGAATCCTATATATATAGCAAAAATAATCTTTAAAAATGAAAAGAAAGCGAAGAGAATTAGTTGCCATCAGATGTACCCTAAAAAAATGGCTAACGGAATTTCTCTAAACAGAAAGGATGTGATAAAACATAAAAATCTTGACAGATCAGGGAGAAATAAACACAGTAAGCAAAAGTACAGGCAAGTACAGTAGACTTTCTATCTCCTCTTGAGTGTTCTATGCTATGTTCAATAATTGCTATAAAAATTATAATGCAGCCTGATGTGGTTCTAAAAAACAGAGAGCTGAGGGATTTAAAAAAATACCATAAATGAATTATATATCAGGAAAAACAACTTATAAAAGACATTTTTGGTACAACTGATAATTCAACTTTATTAATTTAGAAAACTTAATTATTTAAATTTAAAATGCAACACTTAAATATGGACTACATTTGGCAAGTTATTGTATAGTATTTATGTTAGTTTTCTTAGGTAAGATAATGGTATTGTGGTTATATAGGAGAATGTCTTTATTCTTAGAAGTCTCATGATAAAGATGAAGTGTCATGAGGTTGAATCTTAGAAGTGTGTGTGTGTGTGTGTGTGTAGAAAGAGACAGAGACAGGGAAAGAGAGAAAAAGAGGAAGGAGAAAGTAAATGAGGCAAAATATTAACAAGGGTGAACCCAGACAAAGGTCACAGCATTCATTATGCGACTTTCAACTTTTTTATAGGTTTCAAGAATTTTTTAAAGTTTAAAAATATGCTAAGTGAACTGATTCTGAACATGTGTATGTGTGGTGAATCTGATGATTTGTGTACCTATGCCCAGGCACCACACACATACACACACTTTTCTAAGCATTGCAGAAGGACAAGCAATTGCCTTTAGGGAACGATCTAGCTGGAACCTAAGTGAAGACCAGGGTGCCTACTTAAAAATGTAAAGAAAATCTGAACATTCTTGATGGACCCTCACCTGCCATATTTACAGCCTGTGTAAAAATATCACCCTGGGCACTTCGCGTTCTGTTGTCTTCTTTGATGAATTCCACGTACGGCACTGCCTCACTCAAGGTGGTGGGAGTTAACAAGACATCCACTCCAGAGTTAAAAACATTCACAAAATCATTAGCAATGAGTCGTCTCACTTTCTGTGCTTTGATGAAGTAATTCTCATAGTTTCTGGGGAAAACAATAGATGAAATTTTAAGGGCTTTTTGTTATTTCTTTGAACAATTCTCAGACGTGAGGCTTGTTAAAGAATTCACTGGATCTCAGCCTTTATGAGTTAAGATTCCTAAAATTGAATTTTGTTCAATTGTGATGTCATTAGAAAATTTGGTAGATCTATAGTTTAATCAATCAGAATTCACTACTAGATGCAATTCTGCATATATAATCATAAAACATCAATACTTCCAGGGAACCATTCAACCAGAACATTCATTTTCAGGTGAGGAAAATCAAGTATAGTTATTAAATGATTTTGCAGAGGTTACAGAGATTGGCAGTGGTAAAGTCTAGAACTGGGTTCCTGGAGGCTCAGTTTAATCCTCTTTCTATTATAATGTCTTAACTCATCTAGAGTATAATGATAAGTAATTATTAGAAGGACACTGAAGTTTTGCAAAATTCTAACATATCATCATCAGAATTAGACATTAGAAAAAGGCTCTGCAAACAAAAACTGGGGAAAGTATGCTAGCTTACAATTTTGTATTTTGTGGATAGGCACAGCCCAAATGGAAATGTGCAATTCAAGGAAAGATGCTTACTTTACTGAAAAGATTAAGAAATTAGCCAGACTTAGGAGTTCATGTAAGTTATGCAGAGAAAGGGAAAAAGAAAATGCCTTTCAACTCCTCCTGAAACTAATGAAGGCTGGCAAAAGTACTAACTATTCGAACTTCAGTTTCCTCACCTGTAAAAATGGATATCACAATTCCAGTCTTACTGCAAACCAAATACAATGAGATAAAAATGCAAAAATCTTTTTACCCTCAAAGAATGCTCTAGAACTATTAGATGTCCTTACTATAATATTATTTGACCACAGGGTTTATAGAGAAGAATGCAGCCCTAACAGGTTTGGCTCAGTGGATAGAGCATCGGACTGCGGACTAAAGGGTTCGATTCTGGTCAAGGGCATGTACCTTGGTTGCAGGTATATCCCCAGTGGGGGCTGTGCAGGAGGCAGCTGATCGATGTTTCTCTCTCATTGATGTTTCTAACTCTCTATCGCTCTCTGTAAAATATCAATAAAATGTATTTTTTTAAAAGAAAAAAATGCAGACATCACCTCTCTGTAAAAAATCAATTAAATATATTTTTTAAAAGAAAAAAATGCAGACATCACCTGTAACTTACACAACAACAACAATTGATGGATTAAATAATGTATTAACAGCATTCCCAAACCTGAATTTTAAAAGAGAGCAAATACTTCTGTTCTCTATGAAATTTCTTCCTCCTTTAAATATGGTTCAAAAGCAGAACTGTTCCTATCAATGATGCTTCCATCAATGATGCCATATAAAAAACCAGAAAACAAGACAAAAGGCAACTACCATTTTCAGACCTTAGACATCAGGCATTCAGAAGAGGGAGCTATGAGAGAAGAGAAACAAGTATGTGAAAAGCTCTTTGATTTCCCTAGAGCAGTGGTAGGCAAACTGCGGCTCGCAAGCCACAATGCGGTTCTTTGGCCCCTTGAACGTGGCTTGGCATTAGAGCCCCTCCTTCAAAATAGACTTGCCTAAGCCGAAAACCGACTTCTGCGCCTGGGCCACAAAGTTTCAATGGCACTGTATGTGGGTGCCCGCACATGGTATTTTGTGGAAGAGCCACACTCAAGGGGCCAAAGAACTGCATGTGGCTTGCAGTTTGCAGACCACTGCCCTAGACTAATGCCTGGAGACAGTTTTCAGGCCTGAGCCCAGAGAGGCGGAACCTAAAAAGAGCTTAAGAGTGGAAATACGGGACTCTCTGTCAAAGAGGAAGATGGAAAGTTTGGAGAGGCAGACCACCACAATTTGCCAGAGCAGAGTATTGGATAGGAATAAGTAGCACTCAGAGCTAAAGGGATTACTTGAGTGTGGTGAGACTATTTAAGATCTACTCCCTTAGCAACTTTCAAGTTTATAATACAGTACCGTTAACCATGGTAAATATGATGGACTTTAGATCCCCAGAAACTTACTCATCTTATCACTGGAAGTTTGAAACCCTTTGGCCAACATCTTCCCATTTCCCCCCAGCCCCAACCCCTGGCAACCACAATTCTACTCTGTTTCTATGAGTTTGGATTTTTCATGTCTGTCTGTCTGTCTATCTATCTATTTATCTATCTTAGATTCCACGTTAGTGAGATCGTATCGTATTTGTCTTTCTCTTACTTCATTTAGAATAATGCCTTCACAAGACGGTCAATAAACTAATACTGAAGACACTCTAGGTAGGAGTCATAGTAATTTAGAATTCTTTCTTGGAGCAACAGGTGCATAGTGGAAGGAAAAACTAAGTTGATCTACTAAATTTTTCTCGAGGGACATCAAAGTAACTTCCTACTTAAGGCTCTAACAGCCATAAGCCAATGTGGCAATAATTGTCAGGGGACATTTAATGAGGCCAAAATCCCTCAGGGCTTCCTACTTTACTAATCATTTAATTAAAACTTCCCATTTTTGTTTGTTTCTGAAAAACAGGAACCATAAATAAGCCTTTAATTGATTTCTAATTAAAATCACAAAGATTTTGCTTCTTTAGCAAATATTTCAACTTGTAAGACCTGCTACTACTTTACTGTTGAGTTTTTAAGAATGGGGAAAATTCCTAAACTAATTATCTTACTCTTTTAGTAAGAAAAAGTTTCCTGAGAGAATTCTTCCTCTCACCACATCATTAAAGCCTTCTCGTCTGGTTGCAGCATACATGGCTTCAGTAGACACATTAATGTCACACCTGTGACCTGAAAACCAAAAAGAGATAGACATTACTTAAGAAGGAAGTTTTGGCTGAAAAACAGACCTAAATTTACATTTGTGACCAATACAAAATTTGCAGATTGCCCTTCATGGTTTCCCTTCTTTATTTGCCTTGTGAGTGATTGGCCAGTCAGCAATCAAGGAAACAGAAGAAGATAACCAAGAGGGAGACACTATTGGTTCACTTCCTCATTTTTTCCTTCATTGAAATGCATACTGAGCATCCAGCACATACTGAGCATTACATTAGATGAACTGAAAATACAAAGATGAAATACTCTCTCTTCAAGGTATTCAGTCCAGAAAAGTGAATTGAACATACAGAGATATTACTGATCAATAATGTAAGAATAATGCTAAAATGAAAGGATTCACTGATTTACTTTTCTAACTCATCAATACGATCTTGATCAATATATATATATATATATATATATATATATATAGTCACTAATAAGTGAACCTTTCAAATGTTGAGACAACTACCTTAAAAATACAAAACACAACCATCTTACCATACTCCAGCCCATCAAATCTTGCCATATTCGATGCCACTTCTGATGTACACAATACATGGTAGCAGACAATTGAGTAACTGGTGTGGGGTAGGGACACTTCAATTACTTTGGCCCCCTCAGACTCAAAGAGCTTAGCGGCTTTGGACCAAAGAGACTGTACTTCACTCGATAATTCTGGTACAAGATATTCCTTATTGGAAAAAGGTAAAAAACAGAAATTAGAACGTCTACATTGATGATTTATAAAAATTTGTACTCCAGGACCTTTGGCAATACATTAGAAAATTTAATTAACTTGCTAGTAGATAGCCAGAAAGACTGAACTGATTTATGATGTTCATGGCACAGCAAGCACAGTACTAGTATGAGTGAGCTCTCTAACAATAGTAAAGATTGGTGATTTGGTTGGAGACCTTATAATTGTTAAATGCTTATTATATATCAGGTACCCTGCTAGATGCTTTTCAAAGATTTTCTACTTTAATGCTTTTAATAATCCCATGATGTAGGTATTATTTTTCAAATTATTAATATAAAATATAGAGACTAGAGAAGTTAAATAAGTTTAATATTACATAGCAGGTAAGTAGAGGATCTAGGATTCTAAACTACATTTGTTTCTACAACCTGTGCTTTCTCTAAGCCCTTACAAAAAGGCAGAGTTATGACCTTAACTGAAGATTTTAAAGAAAGTAGAATTTCCCTACAGTAATAGTCTCAACTGGGGGCAGTTTATCTTCTTCCTGTCAACCAGGGACATTGGTAGCGCGCGCAACATTTTTGGTTGTGGGACTGTGGTATGGCGGGGCGCTACCTCTAGAAGTAGAGGCAGTGACATCTTACAATGCATAGGGCAGTCTCCCAAACAAAAAATTATCCAAAAAATTACTGCTGCCCTGGCTGCGAGGCTCAGTTAGTTGGAGTGTTGTCCTACACACCAAAAAGGTTTGGAGTTTGATTCCCAGTCTGGCACATACCCAGGTTGTTGGTTAAATCCTGGGCTGGGGCATGTATGGGAGGCAACTGATTGATGTTTTTCTCTCACATTGATGTTTCTTTTTGTTTCTCTTTACCTCCCTTCCTTTCTCTCTAAAATCAATAAACATATCCTTGGGTGAGGATTAAAAAAAAATTAATACTAAGCTTAAAGGTCAATAATTTAATTGACTTTCATGTATGAATCACTTAATTGCTACCATAATAAATATGGTAGTAATACAAATAATAGTAATGTCAGTAACATTTATTGATCCTTTACTTTGCAAAGTACATCTTGGACTATGCCCTTTACATCAGGGATTAATAAATTAGGCCCATAAGTCAGATGTGTTGATAGCTATTTTTGAAAATAAAGTTTTATTAGAACACAGCCATACTCCTTTCTTTACATACAGTCTATGGCTGCTTTCACACTACTATAGTGGCAGAGTTAAGTAGTTATGACAAACTGCATGGCCCACAAAACCTAAAATATTAACTAATTGATACTTTATAGAAAAACCTTACAGACCCTTGCTTAACACATTGCAGATGGATCACGAGGAGAATCTTCGCTTCATATTTACACAGTGTTGTACAAAGTATCATACTTTAAAAATATATTAGCTTGTAAGAACATGTAATAACTTCAAAATGCAATGGGTATTTAATTTTAAAGCATGCCTTTAACATTTATGTAAAAAGTTTTTTGTACTTGTTCAATAGAAACTTATCTGGCCACTGGGTAAAGCTAGCAATAAAACTACTAGTCCGCAATGTGTTAACATGAGAATCTAATTCTTTTTATTGAGGTGTAATAGTTTACAACATAATGCTACATTAGTTTCAGGTGTACAGCATGATTTGATATTTGTATGTATTAAGAAACGATCACCACAATAGGTCTAGTTAACACCTGTCACCATACATAGTTTTTTTTTTTTCCCCCTTGTGATTAGAACTTTAAAGATCTACTCTCTTAGCAACTTTCAAATATGCAATATAGTATTATTAACTACTAGAAGCCTGATGCACAAAATTCATGCAAGAGTAGGCCTTCTTTCCCCCAGCTGCTGGCACTGCTTCCCTCCAGCACCTGGGACCCGGGCTTCCCTCACAGCCCCAGCTTCGTCCAGTCTAATTAGAATAGCATAGTATGCTTTTATTATTAGAGTCACCATGCTCTATATTACATCCCTATGATGATTATATAATTCAAACCTCACCATTCTCTGAAATCAATACTGTTATTATCCCCATTTTACAGATGGGGAAATTGAGCCATGTGTGCTCAGGTTACACATCTATAATAATAATAAAAGGGTAGTGTGCTAATTAGACCCGACATTTTTCAGACATCATTCTAGATGCCCTTCCTGACGAAGCTGGGGGCCTGAGGGAAACCAGTCCAGGTCCTGGGTGCCTGTGGGCGGCCCGAGGGAAGCCGGCCCGGGTCCCAGGTGTGTGCAGGTAGCTGGAGAAAGGAAGCAAGCTGGTGTTCTGGGTGCCTGCGGGCAGCCAGAGGAGGGAAGCAGTCCAGGTCCCAGGTGCCTGCTGGAAGCCTGAGGGGGAAAGCCTGGGTCCCAGGTGCCAGAGAGAAGCCAGCGCCGGCAGCTGGGGGAAAGGCCTACTCTTGTACGAATTTTCGAGCATCAGGCCTCTAGTAGCAAATAAAAGTGGAAGAGCAAGGATTCAAACCTAACCAATCTGTGCTTTGTATGTGACAGTACAGTATTCCTGTAAAGTAATGAAAGGGAAGAATTACCTTGGGAATTCCTATACATAGTTTGCTTACATCTGTCAAACTGGGAAGTATAAACGATTTAACAGGATCTTGTACTGTGGTTGAATCTTTGCAGTCATGCCCAGCCAGTACACCTGTAAAGGAAAATTCTTGGGAGTGACAGACATCATTGGTTTACAGTGAAACTGTAACGTTTTCAAACCACATGGAATCATATAAATACCCAACACAGTTGCTGCATCATCCACGCATCTGGTTAAGATTCCTGGCACATCCATTGAATTCACCAGGGGAATGAGACCGTGACGGGAAACTAAGCCATAGGTTGGTTTTAAACCAACAACTCCACAGAGGGCAGCTGGATTTCTGGTTGATCCTCCCGTATCTGATCCTAAAGCCCTGGAATTCAAATGGAATTCTCTTTAGAAGAATGACATATCTCTAATTACATTTGGAATCGACCTTTTAAAATGTATATTTTAAAACTGTATTTCCCTCTGATTATATAAAAATAAAATATGCTTTTCTCAGAGAAGTATTAAAATATAGAAAAGGATAAGAGGTAAAATATCCCACCATCCTGAGGCACTGGTAATTTTTGGCATATTCAAGTCTTTAAAAATGCATTTCTCTTTCATACTTCAGGTTATTCTGTAATCATAAGTTTCTATCTCTTTTTTGCTAATCATGAACCTTTTATCAGATCACTAAAATTACTGAAAATTTAAAATATTATATGTATAATACTCTATCATCTCAGTTGGCAATTCCCAATATTTTAAAGTACATTCTCTTATCAATCTACATACAAATCTTTACCTTCTTTAATGGCGACTTTACAGTATGCTTTTAACAACTGAATATACCCTCCCAGAAATTCAGATATAGCCCTTCTACTACCCCAGTTAGAATAATGGGTAGAAATGTATTTTAATTTATTTAAACATTATGTCATTGCCAATTATAACAATTGAATAAATTACTTTGTAATAAACACCTTTAAACATAAACCTTCGCCCATATGTCTGATTATTTCTTAAGTTAGCTTCTAAAAATTGAGTTAATGGGCCAAAGAGTCTGCCTATTATTATAAGTTCTTAATATATATACAGTCAAATTACTCATTAGAAAGGTTATACTAATTTATATTCTCAATTGCAGTGAATCCAATTGTGTTTAATGTTCCATTGTTCCACTGAGTACTAACAGTTCTTAAAATATGGTTAAAGTGATAACCAAAAAGCTTTGTAAAGGTGTATTTTAAAATAATTTTTCACATTTATTTGTATTTGTATTACCTAACTATGAAGTGTCTGTTCATTGTTTTGCCTAATTACCCATAGAGTATATGCTTTTCTTATTAAACAACAAAAACTCCCACAAAAATTAACTTAGAGGACATAATACTAGGTGAAATAAGCCATCACAAAAACTGCATAATTTCACTTAGAAAAGATAACCAGAGTAGTCAAATTCATAGAGACCGAAAGGAGAAGAGTGGTTGCCAGAGGCTGGGGGACAGGCAAATGGTGAGCTGTTGTATAATGGGTACGAAGTTTCAGTTTTGCAAATGAAAAAAGTTCTGGAGATTGGCTGCACAAGTGAATATATTTAACACTACTGAACTGCATATTTAAAAATGGTTATTAAAATGGTAAATTTTATGTTATGTATATTTTACAATTAAAAATTAAAAACATTTAAAAAACTTTCAGAAAAATTGTTTTTCTAATTAGAAAAGTATACATGGCTAATGGAAAAATTAAAATGACCTACTGTATGAAGTATATAAAGTAAAATTTCTCTTATAATTACTACCCTGATAAAAATCTAGTTATCAATTTTAATATACATTCATCCAGACACTTCCATGCAACTTGCATATATACATATGTATTACTTTTAATAAAACTAAGATCACACTATACACACTATACATGTCTTTCCATGTCACCAGTGCTCTAGCTCATTCTTTTTCATGGTGCATTAGTATTCCAAGAATTTTCTTATTTTTAAAACTATTATAGAAAGAATGAACCAAAAGGTGGGGGTATAAAGCAGAACATTTGACAGTTTGGGACCCATTCAATTGGAGTTAGTTTGGGTCTGTGCTTCTCTTGACTACACCCAGAGTGAAGCTTTGAACTAAATAAGGCTCCTACCAGTCACATGGTCTTTGTGTTCTACAGAAAATGCAAATTAGACTGCCTTTCTTACAAAGTCCATTTGAGTCACAAAATCAGACTGTTGCTTTAACAATTTCTAAAACGATACATTTTCTTATTAGGATTCACTGACAGCTATGTAAAGTAAAACCTGCATTTCGATAGGAATTATGTGTCAAAATGCCATCTTCTCAAAGCCCATTCAGAAAGATGAACACTGAATGGGGTGATGAGGATAGGAAAGAGTACCTAATCTGGCAGGCCTAACTTATCAGAAGTCTCATTAATATTAATGCAGTGCTATAAAATTTCACAGAGATAAAATGAAATGTTTTACTTGTTAACAAGATTCCAGAGAAACTAAAAAAAAAAAAAAAAAAAAAAAAATCTGTAGAGTCTAATAAATCCTCATAGCTCTAAAAATATAAATAATTTATAGCTTGCAATGTCCCTGAAAGAGCTTAGTTACAGTGGATAATTAAGGAAAGAGAACTATAATAACAGCAATATTTATTTACTTTTCCTTAGATGGTTAGGAAATGCTTTACAAGTGGGACTTAAGAGATAAAGCATGATTGATGCTTCCTAAATACAAAGTATATGATAGTTGAATAAATCAGCTCCCTACAAACTTGAAAAACCTTTACTTACTAATATATATTTTTAGTTGCTGATTGATAAAAACACTATTTTAAATATTCTATCGATATATATTAGGAATATTTTTTTTCTTTCCCTTTTGGGGGGACAAAAGTCAGAATTAGGCGAAGGATAAACCATAGCTAACAATTTAACTCAGTAGCACTCAGCTAAAGCCATGGTATGTGAGTACCTAAATATCTGTACAATCATGACACCCAAATAAATTATTTTAAAAATGAAATTCAATGAAACCCATTTATGCTAACTGGTTTATTCTGCAAGATCCATAAAATCATGTTTTTAAGAGAACCAGGTACTATATAGGAAGACTTTAAATGTTAAATTGTTATTATTATTATTATTATTATTATTATTATTACTAGAGACCTGATGTATGAAGATTTGTGCAAGAATGGGCCTTCTTTCCCCTAGCTGCCAGCACCACATTTACTCTGGCCCAGACCCATCTTTCTGCCTTCACTCTGGCTGGGACTGCCTTTCCACCTCTTTCCATGCTGTTCAGAGGCCCAGAGCTGCTGGGGTGGTGTGGAATGCCTGCGTCATCGCCATAGCGATGATGATAGTGTCCCGCCCCAACCCCGCCACTTGGCGCCTGTGTATGCAAATTAACCCACAATCTTAGTTGGGTTAATTTGCATACTCACTCCTGATTGGCTGGTGGGCATCACGAAGGTACAGTCAATTTGCATCTTTCTTTTTTATTAGTGTAGATTATTTTTTAATCCTCATCTGAGGGGTAAGGATATTTTTTCCATTGATTTTAAAGAGAGTGGAAGGAAGAGGGAAAGAGGGTGAGAAAAAGGAGAAAGAGAAACATGGATGTGGCAGAGACACATCAATTGCTTCCTACATGGGTCTAAACTGGTGGTGGGGATCAAACCTGAAACCCAGGTATATGCTCTTGACTGGGAATTGAATCTGAGACCCTCCGGTACACACACTGACGTTCTAACCATTGACTAATGCTGGCTACAACTAAATATTATCTTAAAGTTAAATGTATAACTACACATAAGTGTACTGTATAGTTAAGTATTAATAGGATAATTTTGATATACTATTGGACACAAATAGCTCACTAAAAAGAAATAAAAATAGTGAGGTACTGCCCAATTAGTATGAATCAATGGTTGATGGTAAACCTATGAACTAGGAGGTCACAGTTTGATTCTTGGTCAGGACACATGCTCAGGCTGAGAGCTCGGTCCCCAGTAGGGGGCGCAGGAGACAGCTGATCAATGATTCTCAACACTGAAGTTTCTATCTTTCTTCCTCTTCCTTCCTCTCTGAAATCAATAATATACCTGCGTGTGTGTGTGTGTGTGTGTGTGTGTGTAAGAAATACCGAAGTATGAATTTGCCTACTGTTGGATTTTGCCTACAGTTTATGACTATTTGTGCCAGGTTGGGTTTTAAAGTACAAATAGAAAAAACATCTTACGCAAAGCATGTGAACGCTGATACGGCGGCTGCACTCCCTCCGGAGCTTCCTCCCGTTATTAGCCAATTTGTATCCTCGTTCTCGCCATGGGGTTTCTGCTTCTTCTTTTCTCGGTACTGTTTTGAATAACTCCATGGGTTTTTAACTGGTCCGAATACACCATCTGTGCTACCAGATCTGAGAGGAAGAAGTGAAGCAAGATATCTAATAAAACTTTCATTTTATGTGACAATTTCATCTTCTGATAATTATTTGCTTCTGACATTGTATAATCCACTGTAATAAACTGAAAAGATAGGAAGCCTGCTTAGATGTAGCTTTATTCAATTACATAGTTGAGGAGTGGAGGATGGAAAGAGCATTTGTGATAGAAAGTAGAGAAAACTAGTCTACTAAGAAATAAAGATTTATATCCCAGTTGATCATCTAATTCAGTTTAAGATGATTTCCCATGTAAATTAATGTCTTCTGGTTGTAGTGTCACAAACATTCAGTTAACACAAAGTCTTTTATAGGAATCCCTTTTTTTAAAAATATGTTTTATTGATCTTTTTACAGAGAGGAAGGGAGAGAGATAGAAAGCTAGAAACATCGATGAGAGAGAAACATCGACCAGCTGCGTCCTGCACACCCTCTACTGGAGATGTGCCCACAGCGAATGCACATGCCCTTGACCAGAATCGAACCTAGGATCATTTAGTCTGCAGACCAATACTCTATCCACTGAGCCAAACCAGTTTTGGCGGAATCCCTCTTTTAATCAGAAGTTTTAAGAAAAGCATTATAAGTAGAATACTAATAAGTTATTTTTTAAATTTTGAAATAATTTCAATCATACAGAAAAATTATAAAAATAAAAGTAGTATGAAAAGCACTTTACACCCTTTTCCTAGATTCACCTACTGTTAACATCTGATCTTATTTATTTTATCATTTGTATGCTCTGCGTATGTGTATCCACACACTTTTTTTTTTTCTGAACCATTTAAGGGTAAATTATATTGCAATGGCTCTTTAGTCCCAAATATTTTAATATGTACTCGGTATGTTATTTCCTAAGATTAGAGTATTCTCTTATATAGTCAGTAGAGGCCCAATGCATGAAATTCGTGCAAGGGGCTCGACCTTCGAAGTCCTGGCTTCGTCTGGAAGGTTGTTTGGAGGATCGTTCTGTTGATTGGTCTAATTAGCATATTAGCTCTTTATATATAGGATAGTATAGTTATCAATATCAACAAATTTAACAATATACTTTTATCTAATTTAATGTATATAATCCAATTTTACCAGCTGATGCAATAATGTCCTTTATAGCATTTTACTCCCTTCCTGTACAGAAGCAGACCTAGAGGTAGATAGATACTACAGCTAGTTATCATTATCTCCTAAGCTTTGTTAAAATTAAAAAAAATATATATATATATATTTTATTGATTTTGTTACATAGCGGAAGAGAGAGTGATAGAGAGCTAGAAACATCAATGAGAAAGAAACATCTATCAGTTGTCTATTGCTAAATGCTATGTTTTCCAAAGACAGTTTATATTCACTATTTTTATAACATAAAAACACTGACTTTAACAGTACTACAAAATATTGAATATCGATCAGTTAATATGCCCACAACTAAGGTACATGCCCTTGACTGAAATCCAACCCAGGACCTTTCAGTCCACAGACCAAAGCTCTATCCACTGAGCCAATCTGGTTTCGGCATTTTTTTACTTTTTTAAATCATTCACTAGCCAATGAACATTGAGCTATTTCCACTTTTTGGCAATTTGAAAAAAGTCACAATAACTATTGTACTGAAAGGCCATTGACAGTGCTTTTGTGTAAACATAAGTTTTCACCTCTTGACAGAGATTGTTGGGTCATATGGTAAGTGGTGTTTAATTTTATAACACACTGCCAAACTATTTTCTCAAATGGCGACACCGCCCTAACTGGTTTGGCTCTGTGGACAGAGTGTCAGCCTGCAGACTGAAGGGTCCCAGGTTTGATTCCGGTCAAGGGCATGTACCTTGGTTGCAGGCATATCCCCAGCAGGGGTTGTGCAAGAGGCAGCTGATAGGTGCTTCCCTCTCATCGATGTTTCTAACTCTCTATCCCTCTCCCTTCCTCCCTGTAAAAAAATCAATAAAATATATTTAGATAAATAAAATGGTGACACCATTTTGAATTCCCTACCAGCAAAGTATGAGAAATCCAATAGTTCTTTATGCTTGTCAGCACTTGATATTTTCATTTTTTAAGCCATTCTAATAGGTATAAGTATCTCATTGTGTTTTTTATTTGCATTTTCTTAACGTGATGCATTTTTATGTGTTTATTTTCCAATTGTATATCTTCTTTAATGAAATGTCTACTTACATCTTTTACCCATTAAAAGAAAAACTGAGTTGTTTTCTTAGTGAGTTGGGAAAAGGTCTATATATACTGGATGCATGCTCTTTCTCAGACAACAATGCAAGTATTTTCTTTCAGTCTATAGTTTTATTTTGTTTTTTCATTTTTAAACAGTATATTTCAAAGTGCAGAAGTTACTAATTTTAATTAAGTCCAAACTATCAATTTTTTATTTAACAAATTGTACTTTATGTGTCTTAAGAAATTTTTGTCTAACTCAAGGTCATATAGATTTTCTCCTACATTTTCTTCTATAAGTTTTAGGTTTTATGTTCTTTAACTTATTTTAATCTAGAACATTTTCATAGCCTTCCTATGCTTTTTAGATATTGATACTTAATAGAATGTTTCTAATTTCAGATTTGTCTTTTGTTTCCTTATTATTACTTTAGGAAAGGAAAATTGCATAGATGATGGTGTGTTCTCTTAGGGAATCACATCCGGAGGTACATGATGTTGAATTCATCCTCACTGATATTCATTTTGATCAGCTATTCAAGGCAATGTCCTAATAACCTATGTTTGAGTTTACTCCCATGGGTTAATCTATTCAATACGTATTTACTAAATGCCAAAACCATGAAAAGACAAGCCAGAGAATGGAGAAAATATTTGCAAATCACCTGTATAATAATGGTTTTGAATCCAGACTGTATGAAAGAACTCTTACAACTCAAGAAGATAAACAACGCAATTGAAAAAAAAAAAAAGGGTGGGAGACAAAAGATTTGAATATATTCTTCGAGAAGATATATGGGTGGCAAACCACATAATGTTTAACATTATTAGTCATCAGGGAAATGCAAACTAAAACTGAGATATTACTATATATGTATTAGACAGTAGAGCATAATATCACAGAGGGAATGAGAAATTGTCATTAGAATCCTCAAAAAAAAAAAAAAAAATCACCTCAATACTTTTAGGGAACTACATAATAAAATTGAAGACAGATAGAAAAAATACAAGAGAAGAGAATTTCAATTTTACTTACCCCATAGCAAACTCATCTAAGTTTGTTTTTCCCATTAGTAGAGCTCCCTGATCCAACAGCTTCTGAACTACTGTGGCATTATAAGGTGGTACATAACCTAAAAAAAATTAAGTAATTTTTATTACAGGAAAAAAACCAACAACAGTAAACATATAAAACATACTAAAGAAACAAGATTTAAAAATATATATATATATATATATATATATATATATATATATATATTTTTTTTTTTTTACAGAGAGGAAGAGAGAGGGATAGAGAGTTAGAAACATTGATGAGAGAGAATCATCAATCAGCTGCCTCCTGTACACCTCCTACTGGGGATGTGCCCACAACCAAGGTACATGCCCTTGACTGGAATCGAACCTGGGACCTTTCAGTCCGCAGGCTGATGCTCTATCCACTGAGCCAAACTGGTTTCAGCAAGAAACAAGATTTTTAAACTGCAATTAAACAATTTGTATTGACATGTGTTAATTATTCTTAATTTTACTAGTCGGATGTACTTTCTTCCAAAAGTTATTTTTTTCTATTGCTAAATGCTATATTTTCCAAAGACAGTTTATATTCACTATTTTTATAACATAAAAAAACTGACTTTAACAGTATTACAAAATATTGAATAACAAAGGTGTACCTAATTCATTTGATACTAATCACAAATCGTATTTGTACTTGACTTTTTCTTCTCAGATAATGCTATTTCACAGTGATTTTTATCCATTTCCAGTCAGAAATAGATTTTTATTGTTAATTAAAATTCTCTCATGTAGTGTATATTCAAAAACAATTATAAACAGTCTACTTATCAGAGGAACCTAGGCACATACCTCAGAATATTACTTTTAGTATATAGTACTCTGAATAACTTTTTCCCATTTCCTGTTCTTTCTATGATCCAAGCATCTTGATAAACTTGATTCCTTTTTGACTTACTAAACTGTAAAGAATAAAACTAAAATTATAATACTCAAATAAATATCTATAATAATAAGAATGTAAAATGCTAATTAGACCGGACAGCCAAATGACCTTCCTGACATCCTTCTAGATGAAGCCATGGCAGCAGGGGCCGAGGCAGAGGAGGTTAAGGGTGATCAGGCAAGGAGGTGAGCAGTTAAGAGGCGATCAGGTAGGCAGGCAAGTGGTTAGGGGTAATCAGGCAGGCAGTCAGGCCCGTGGTTAAGAACCAGCAGGGATCGGGCCTAAACCGGCAGCCCAACATCCCTCAAGGGGTCCCAGATTGCAAGAGGGTGCAGGATGGGCTGAGGGACCCTCCCCCCAATCCCTTGTGCATGAATTTTGTGCACTGTGCCTCTAATAGTGATATAAGAGGTACAGGAGTCAAGAAATAAAAAAATAATGGGACTATAGTGGCTAATAAATCTTCACACCATCCTTGAGAGATGGGTAATGACAGCCACTCCATACTCTTCCCATGTTATCACGGAGTGGGAATTAGAGGTTGCTTAGTGTGTTTGTGGTGATCAGTTACTGAGTCTTCCTAAATAGGATTGCTAAAACTTCCTAAATTACATTCATCCACTAAGCAGGCCTACCTCTAAAGAATAGTTTTGCATTCTGAAAGAGTAAATAGAAAAAATGTAATACTCCATCCTAAGTATCTTTTTTTCAGATATAGAGTGAGAATATCTTGGTGCTTTACTATCTTTTCTTTAGTATTAACTGAAAAATTCTTATTTTTAATAAATGCTGTGATCAGTTAAACTTTACCTTTCAACATGTTCGATGCACACGTTGTCTTAATGCCAGTTGTGCTAAAGTTGTCTTTTACTGCAACAGGAATTCCATCTAACTCCCCAAGTGAGTGACCTGTGTTAAAAAGCCAAAAGAAAAGAAGTATTTAATTCAAGATATAATGACACATTACTACTAGTTAATAACTATTAGTTCTTGGTAAAGATACTTCTTCAGAAATTAAATTCAGGTTAGAAATTATTGCAGTTGGACAGTAATATCCAATTGCCTTTTTTAATTATTATTACTATACTGCATGGTAAGTTCTTTAAATAAGGGAATGCTTTATGTTAAAAGATTCTCTTGCCAAATGGAGACTACTATATCCAATTAAAACTCTTTCTCTGATATAACAACTGAGTATAATTCAAAGCAATTTACCTTTCTTATATCTTTCCTCTGATTCTTCAGCTTGCTTTAAGGCCACTTCTTCTGATACAGTAATGTAAGCATTTAGAAACTTGGTCTTCTTGATCAGGGAGAGACATTCTTGACAGAGCTCAGTTGGAGTAATTTGGCCTTGTTTCAGTGCGACAGAAACCTATAATGTATTCAGTTAAAAAAACCCTTTGGTGAGTCTGCAGAAGTTTCAAATTTTACACTGATGCAGGCAGGTAGAGTGATTAAGTATAAATTTTGAAGTAAGGCTTGGAGTCCAAACCAAGAGAACCTATTAACTCTACACTTAGTGTAGTGAACCAGGGTAACACTTTGACCAGCTTGAAGATGGTTTGGAGAATACCACATTCATAGGCCTAGCTAAGTAACTGTCTCTAAGCCAGGCTTGAACAAACAAGAGTGATGGTTTAGGTCATTGATCGGCAAACTCATTAGTCAACAGAGCCAAATATCAACAGTACAACGATTGAAATTTCTTTTGAGAGCCAATTTTTAAAAAATTTAAACTATATAGGCAGGTACATTGTTATTAACTTAATTAGGGTACTCCTTCAATCGCACTGTATGTGCGCACCCATGCGTGGTATTTTGTGGAAGAGCCACACTCAAAGGGCCAAAGAGCCACATGTGGCTCGAAAGCTGTGGTTTGCCAACCACTGGTTTACTAGGTAAACCATCCTGCCCAGAAGAAGTAGAGGTCCAGCATGGGTGAAGCACGGGTTAGGATAGACTGTGTAAAGAGAGTAGCTTAGCTGCAACGCATGATGTGGAGAGAATATAGAGTGGACAGAAGATATATTTTGGGTTGGGAAAATCACCACCAAATAATGTTTTGCACACAATATCAATAAATACTTGTAAAAGGACTGATAAAGTAAAAGCAATCATGCCAAGGCAACCATCCTCCTGTCTACCCCTGGGTCATTTTTTTTTATCCCCTTAACGTAAAAGTTGTTTCGCATGATGCTTCCCTCAACGTCATGAGGAAAGGGTTGGCACATAAAAGGTGGAGCTGAATGGGAAAAGAACAGAAAAAGAAAAGGCCACGTTTTTTCAGTTATATTTCATTTTCAAACAATTTTTTCTTTTTAAAGGACAAATAAGATTCTGCACTAACAGTAAAGTCCAGATGCAATTAAAATAGTAAAACAGTAATTATTTGGGGGAAGACCTATTTATTATTTAAAGCCTGCAAACTTAAAAGAAGTTCTCATAATTTAGTTTTCTAAAAGGCTGCCAGGTGGGAAGAAAAGACCTTCCTGGTGAAGACAGAAGGCATGGTAGGTCCTCAACCTCTACGTATCAGCAGAATCACCTGGAGCCTTTGTTAAACCATGTACTCTGGGCCTTACCACATAGATCTGCCTCCATGGAGAACAGCTGAGTTTTAACAAGGGCGAGAGGTAAATCTTACAGCAGTGGGCCTGCAGACAGTTATAAGGCTGAGAGAGCTAGAGCAGGAAGCAGAGACCTGAATTAAAACTCTAAGAGTAGGGATAAAGCAAGAAAACAGATTGCAGATATAATTTTAAGACAGAATTAAGAGGGGTTAGTGACTTAGTGGATATTACTGATGAAGAAGAATCTAAAGGCAAGGAGGATAAAGTTGTCTCATTAATAAGAGACTATTAAGAGTTCAGAAATCAGGTTTTGGAATTTTTTTTCCTAAAGGTGGAGGTTGAGACGTAAGAGAGGGTCCTGTTACAAGGAAGTCAACTTTGGTTAAATTGGGTTTGAGGTGCTTACGGGGACATTTGTTAGAGATGTCCAGAAGACACTCATACAGCCTAGCCCTAGAGTTACTAAAGGACGTCCAGGAAACAAGGACTAGGATAAAGGAATTATTGGTATTTTAGTGGTAGTTAAAGCCTAGAGGGAGGGGGGAAAAAAGGGGGATCATTAGTTTGGCTTTTGCAAGGGACAGAGTTGCATCTCCTTAGAACCGCATCAAATGAGTGGTCGGGGCAGAAGAGACACCGAGGAGGACCAACGCAATCCCCCGCTTCTAGCAGCGCCCCAGCCTTAGCAAACGTCTAGCTGCGAAGCCGGCGTTCACTTCCACCCCTCAGCTCCGCGGTATGGAAGCTCCCCGGCTAAGGTCCTAACTCCAGAACCCACATGGAGAGTACAGCCGAAGGACCCACAGGTACGAATCCCCAACCCAGTTCCAGGGGAGGCGGCGGGGCTGAACGAGATGCCTGGCCAGGCCCGGGGACTCCATGCCCACGGACTCCACGAATCTGGCCGACCTCCCTGGGCCCTCAGCACCCAATTCCACTCACTTCTCGGAGGGTCCGGCCCAGCATAGTCTTCGTAGCCAGTCTGCCACCACAGGGGCCAGGTGACAGGGAGGAAAAATAAAGGTCAACAACTGCTACGGGTAGTACATGGGCGCGGCCATCTTTGCTCGTCACTGGACCTCTCAACACCGAGTTCTGCCATTGGTCGGGTTGCAGCCCGAGGAAATGATCCTTGCACACGATTGGTTGGCGCCGCAAGGCACCTCCCTTGGCGGTGGCGGCAATCGAGTGGAAAGGAGACTCCGGGCTGGGGTCGCGGTGGGAGTTTGGAAGCGTCTGTTTTCTCTGTGGCGTCGGGTTCGCGAGCGCAGTCCGTCGGTTCCGCCGAGTGCTGCCGAGACGGGGCAGAGTTCTAGAGGGTTTTGATTTTGGTCTGTGTTTAAGGGGTGGGGGTTGAGCGGGGGAGAGAATGGACAAAATACTGATTGGAACGTTAATTGGAGCATTGCATATGCGAAGAGCCATCTAATTCCACATTCTTCTTCCTTCATTTGCTCCATTAGGCCCACTTCATTTTTTGAATCCTCCGTCGGACAGTGTGTTTGGCCTAGTTCAGGGGTGACAGGTTGATCCGATCTCAGTGCATTTTAATCAGGGCACGCAACTTAACCCCATGTTCGCGATGGAATTCCTGAAGACTTGTGTCCTTAGAAGAAAGGCGTGTGCTACGGTTTGCTTCTGGAGAAGCCACGTCACACTAAAGCTTTCCGTTAGGAAGATTAATACCACCTCTCCGCGGAGCACGGTCATGCCCGCGTGGGTGATAGATAAATACGGGAAGAATGAAGTGCTTCGGTTTACTCAGAACATGATGATGCCCATCATTCACTATCCAAATGAAGTCATTATCAAAGTGCACGCTGCCAGTGTCAATCCTATAGATGTTAATATGAGAAGTAAGTTTGAAAGACATCCCTCGTTATTATGGTTTTTTGGGTTTTTTTTTGTTTTTTTTTTTTAAGAATTTCGCCAGGATTCAGTAATTTTAAAAGATCAATTGTTGTTTTACTACACTTCTTTGGTTAACACAAAGGAATGGTTTTAGGCTTTTGACAGTATGTCAGCAGGCAGTTCCAAAATGTGTGAAATTGCAATGCCCATGGTATACTTTAATTTTTTACAAAATGTTAAGTTGGAATTGCTTCCAGGTTTCCTTAACATGTAAATTGGGACTTGAGAGTTGTGTGCACAGCTAACTTGATGGTATCCTCTCCTGGGAGTTTTGTGATATTCTGGGGTCTATCACAGGTTTTAGAGGTATGGTTATGTTTCCACATCAGTTCAGAATTTGCACTTTTGTAATAACTTCTTTGCTCTCTCACTGTTCACAGCTTTCTTTATTTCTTCAGAAATTCCATCCTTGCAGTACTTTCCTCCTTTTTGCTGTTGCATTTGGCCTCAGCTGTTAAAATACACTTTTCTGTTATCCTAAGGGGGAACAATGTTACTGTATCTTAATTTCTTTTGGGATATTCTAACAAAGATTGAAGAGCACTATTGATTCCTTAAATATATAGTATGTAATTATAATGCTGAAAAACTTAATTACTATTTGTGAATTACTTTAACTTTGGAGAGTAATGACAAAAATATTGCTTATTGGAACTTATTCATGTCTTCTGAAAGAGTAAAACACACACACACACATTTAGGATGATTGATCAGTTAACCTCAGTGCTCTAAACAAGCTTCCACATAAGTTATAATTTTATCACATATCTGTGTTTTGAAGACCTATATGTAGACCTACAGTTCTCATCAGATTGCCTCAATAACAATTGTGCAGGGTGGGGCCAAAGTTGGTTTACAGTTGTATGTGAAATACAGTTTATTCTTGTATTATTTATTAATTATTGTGTTATTTTCTATACGAACAACTTAAACCTACTTTTGCCCCATCCTGTATGTGAACATAGAATAATTAATCTTCTTTAATTTCTTCCTTTTTGTTTCTAGGTGTTGTGTGAGTAGAATAGCAATTTTCAAATTTTTTGTTCTTAGATTTCTTTACATGCATAATAATGATTTGGCTTTTGTTTGTGTGAGTTATAGCTATGAATATATCTCCCTTGTTAGATATTAGAATAAGATAACTGGATCTTCATATGTATTTTTGTATTCAGTCTGTCACAATGTATCCATGATTTTGGGTCAAGACTTACTGTATTTTTGTTGTTCACTTTGACATCATAATTGCTGCCACTATGTGAACATATTGTTTTATTCCATTTACACTGGATGTGAAGATAAATTTTTATAGGATATGTCTTTAAGTGGTTGTTTTACATCCAATGATAAGTGTTTACACCCAATGATCAATGAGTATAAATTGGAAGGTAGATTGTATACTCTGTTAATTACTACCTGTTTCAGTACAGTACTTCACATATGTGGTTGTAATGCAGTCATTATTTTTATGGCATTTTACATTTTCACTCTAATTTAAGATTACAGACTAAAATTAGCAGTATTTTATCCATGAGCATATTTACATTTGTCTTTTTTTAGAACTGCTAACTTTCATTTCTTTGAATGCACATGCATAATTTGTATTGTGTACATTTCAATTTCAGCAGAATGGCTGGATTTGGACTTTTTTTGCTGCTATTTAATAATAAAATATTGTAACATTTTACTTTTATATAGTATTCTTAAGACATCTTAGTTTATGATTTGAATGGGTAATATTATTTGCAAATTACCCTATTTCCTACTCATGGGTTCTTTTTGGAGAATGTGCAATTGCTGTTGCAGAAGGTATCTGAAATGGTTGCTTGGGGAAATAAGTAATAACTAGAAGCTTGGAAACTATAGGAAGCAGTTTTCCTTGAAAAGAAAGCAAAGACATGCTATTTTCTTTTGAAAGATGAAAGTAGGCTGTTTTCCTGGAGATGACCATAATTGATGGACAGAAAATCATAACTTATTATAAATGGCTAAATAAATTTATTTCATTTAATAATATTTTATTCCCACCCCCCTCTCCTTTGGTAACCATCAACTTGTTCTCCATATCTCTGGGTCTGTTCCTGTTTTGTTTATTCATTTGTATTTTTAGATTCCACATCTAAGTGAAATATATAGTATTTGCCTTTCTCTGTCTGAATTATTTCACTTAGCCTAATACCCTCAATCCATCCATGTTGTTGCAGATGGCAAAATTTCATTCTTCTTTCCTGCTGGATAATATTTCATTGTGTATATATATATTTCACATCTTCATTATCTGTTCATCTGTTGGACAGCTAGGTTACTTCCATATTTTGGACATTACTAGGAATGCTGCAGTGAAATAGAATAATTTTGAAATAAAAAATACAGCCAATAAGATTATACCAACAGTCTGGTTTCTTGAGGTGGAATTAAAGCTTTGAAACTGATGACAGATTTATGATTTTCCAAATTATTTTAATTCTGACCCAATCAAACTGACTACCTCTAACAATGGAATGAAGCTCCTAAGGACCCTCTACTAGTTACTACTAGCTGCATTTTGGATTTGGGACTAGTTTAGCTAATACTTGTGAGCCGAGGCTAGTTAGTTGATACATTGGTATCACAGTGACCAAGAAAACTAATTCTGCCCTGCAGGTCTGTACCTCAGAGAGGACTGAAGCTTTTTTGCAGCTCTGAAATAGCAGCTAATATTTGGTAGGACTAAATGCCTACTTCTGTTGCTCAAACCACATAGGAATTTCAGTCAATAATTGTTTAAATGTGTGTTATGATGGAAATGGAATGTAAGATAGGAAAAGTAAAACATGATTTTTTATTACATGTGAAGCTTTTTTTTTTAATTTCTTTTCCTGATAGAATGTACACCTAACTAGCTAGATGACAGATGTGAAATACTGGCATGATGGCTTAGATTTTCTGGGACTATCCCAACTTTCAAACACTTTCTCCCATATTTTTTTAATTACTAGAAAAACAGCTCTGCAAGCTACCCACCTGTTAGCATCTCGCCCTACATCTCCTACATTTCCTCCTACTTTATAAGTTAATTGTCATTGTTGTAAGCCCAGCCCTCCACTTGGGTTCTAGATTCAACCTCTTAGCTACTCTGGGCATTGTTTCAGCAGTTCTCTCCTGCAGCTTGAATCTTTTCTACTGGGTTATTCCTATTAGCATACAGACTGCTGCTTCTCCCCTCTTAAAGGGGGGTGGGGGGTGGGGGGAAGGAAGACACACTAAAAAATCCTCTTTCCATCTCAGTTGCATCTCTCACGTCTCCTACTTCCCATTCTCTGTATCTCCTCCACACACAACAACTGCTCCTATCAAGGTTACCTAATGTGTACTACCCCTGAGAATGGGTCAGGGTAAAGGAGACATACAGACTGGTTTAGTGATTCTGGAATTTAAATTATGGTACATGACACTGGAAAGGTAAACAGGGTGCTTATCTTGGAGAACTTTGCTACATGTTCTCAAAAAGATGTCAAGTAGGGAGACAATTACAGATACTTTTGTGTCTTGGAAATATATATATATATATATATAATTTATTTTAAAAAATTGGTTTCAGAAAGGAAGGGGGGTGCGGGGAGAGAGAAACATCAATGATGAGGAAGAATCATTAATTGGCTGCCTCCAGCACATCCCCTAATGGGGATCGAGCCTGTAGCATAGACGTGCCCTGAATGGGAATTGAACTATGATCTCCTGGTTCATAGGTTGATGCTCAACCTCTGAGCCACACCAGCTAGTCCATTTTATATATTAGAATTATTGTAGATAGAGTAGCCAACTTATTTGAACCAAAAATATGATCAGAATGTTTTCAGCTCTACTTAGCTGATATTTATGTAAATGTTCTTAAAAATAAATGGATATGTATAATAAAGCAATTAACTTGATTTAACGTATTAGAACAGGTGCAGATGAGTGGTCCTTTTTACTGGCGAATCAATCTGTGGACTTAATCCATAGATGTTCTGCAAATACTTTTTGGGAGGTGGGGGCCATTACTTACAGACCAATGTCAGTGTCAAATATAACTATACCTTATTTATTGGTTTATTAACTTTAAACAGCTTTAGTGTTTCTCTTCTTCACCAGACTGGGCTCCAACAACTTTGTTGTTTAAAAAGTTTATGAATGACCTGAAACCGGTTTGGCTCAATGGATAGAGCATTGGCCTGCGGACTGAAAGGTCCCAGGTTCGATTCCGGTCAAGGGCATGTACATTGGTGGCCGGCACATCCCCGGTGGGGGGTGTGCAGGGGGCAGCTGGTCAATGTTTCTCTCTCATCGATGTTTCTAGCTCTCTATTCCTCTCCCTTCCTCTCTGTAAAAAATCAATAAAATATTTTTTAAAAAGTTTATGAATGAATAAATTAAGGAAACTATCTTCAAAGAACGAACTAAAACTATAAGACAAAATACTGCAAGTACTGAAGGCAGTTTCAAAATTGGATTTTAAACATTTTGAGCAACGGTAGCTTTAGTTTAACAAGTGATTATAATTTTCCAAGTAATTTTCTTTGAAAGAAACAGCATTCATTGTTTTGTTTCTTTTTTATTGAATTTATTGGTGTGACATTGGCTAATAAAATTATATTGGTTTCAGGTGTTCATTCTATAAAACGTCATCTGTATATTGTACTGTGTTCACCACCCCAAGTCAAGTCTCCTTTGATCACCATTTATCCCCCCTTTATCCATTTCTGCCTCCCACCCCCCTTCGGCACTCACTGTTTTTATGATTTGTGTGGTGGCAAAACAAAATTTAAATTTTATTTTCAATCTACATCCAGAGTATCTAGAATTATGCCTGGCCTATACCCTGTAGGTAGTTTTTAAATCATCCCATTCTTTTGGAAGAAACAGATAAAACTGTATTTTATAGGTGGTTACGGAGCTGCAGCTTTAAATATGAAACGTGACCCTTTACATATTAAAATCAAAGGGGAAGAATTCCCCCTGACTCTGGGTCGGGATGTCTCCGGTGTGGTGATGGAATGTGGACTTGATGTGAAGTACTTCAAGCCTGGAGATGAGGTGAGCTATAGAATATTGCTATTCCTTTTCTAAGTATGCAAATTTCATTCTGCTTCCTTTGGAAATATATTTCATATCAGTGGCCTTTCCTCCTCTTTCCAACAAATATACTGAGCTTTGGCTGGAACCCTTATTTTCGTCTCTGTTATCCTTGGTTCTGGCAGAATAGCTTGACTGCACTCAAGTGTTCTAAATCTAGTGCTTAAGAATTACAGGACTTTTTGTATGATTGGGACTATTTTTCTTTTCATTGAAAGAATCTTTAAGTGACAATTTTCTATCTTATAGGCTAGCTGAAGTTTGGTATAATCACCTGTCACTTATCACTTTGAATTTTTACACCAAGAAATTAAAGTGAGTTCATAATAATAGGTAACACTGATCTTGTTGCTTTTCATAAAATAATTCTTTAATCTCTATGAAGTAAGTACAGTCAGGCCCACTTTACAGATGGGGAAAGCAAGCTATACAGCTACACAGAAGTTCCACAGCTGGTGAGTGGTGGAGCCAGGATTCATGCCCCAGAGACTGTGCTCTTAGTGGTATTCTCAAGTATGCAGTCAGCAAATTCAACGGGATTTACTGGCATCTGCTTCCAGTGTGGCTTGACATCAAGTGCAGAATCATACTAAATAATAGTAGTTATATGTAAAAATAACTTTTGGTGGTTGTATTGCTGACTTGTGCTTTTCTCATTGGGTGGAGTATGTATTGGGGACTACCCTCCTGCTTAACTTTGGTTAAAGATTTGTTTCTAATGAAGTTGTGTGTGTGTTTCAGGTCTGGGCTGCAGTTCCTCCCTGGAAACAAGGCACTCTCTCAGAGTTTGTTGTAGTCAGTGGGAATGAGGTAATTCAACAGTTCTGTGCTGAAATGCCATTAGAAAGTATAAACAAAGACTGACAAATATCTCTGAAATAATTGTGGGTTTTTTTCAGATCAGGTTCATGTTTAATGGATAGGTTTAAAAGAGCTGAGATAGAGAATAGGAATTTTTGAAAGATTAGAGAAGTATTTGATGTCATTTAATAACACTGCCTGCCAAAGTGGTATCTTTGTCTTGTGGAGCAGGGATTTGGAGTGAGATTTAGAAACCCTGCTGTGTTTCTTGGTTTTACCCAGTGTAAGTAGTGGAAACCAAATATACCAAATGAAGTGTACCGATTAATTATAAACAGAAGCATGGAAGTATCAAACTATTTCAAGGAACCTTAAAAACAGGAATCTAATCAAATACAGTCAGGAAGTCTGACAATTTGAATAGAGAGAAAGGGGTTAACATTGCAGAAATTGGCTACAGAGGGAGGGAAGAAGGGATATTACTAAGATTAGAAAAAGTCTGGAAAGATTACCTTCCAGTAAAGGGGAGTAAAGGAAACAACTGATCTAAAAATAAATAAATAAATAAATAAATAAATAATAAAAAGCAAGTTACAATGTGTTTATGAGGGCTCAAGGTTTATTTGGATTTATTTCTGTGTATAGTCAGGACTAGTGGGATTATTGAATTAAGCAGCTATATCTGATAATGTAGCCTATAAAACATTACTGAGCTTCTGACCCCAGGAGGGCAGGTTGAGTCATTTGGAGAATATTCCTTAGGGATAATCTTAAAGTAGGGTATGTAATAGATTCTGAACCTGGTAGAATATTATAGACTTATCTATGAGAATGGTTGAATTCCTGTGCAAGTAAATGTATTTAATTGCATTCATAAGTTTGTAAGTCATTGCTTATTTTTACTGTTATCTTCAAATCTAGGTCTCTCACAAGCCCAAATCACTCACTCATACTCAAGCTGCCTCTTTGCCATATGTGGCTCTCACAGCCTGGTCTGCCATAAACAAGGTTGGCGGCCTGAATGAAAAAAATTGCGCAGGAAAACGGTAAGTATCAATGGTGGCATCTAAACCTTCTCCCTTTCCTTTTGTAAGGTTTTTGGCGTAGATTATCAGAAGCATTAAAACTAGGATCACTTACATGAGCAGAGTTGTGCTGACATTTAAAACAATTTCCAATGAACTCTCTTTGTGTCATTTTGCACTTTCTTAACTTTATTCTATTGATTCTTAGTTCAATCAAATGCAAATTTAAAATTGAAATGTATAGATGGACTTTAGGACTCTGAACCTTCCAAAATCAAGAAAAATCTTATGTGACTCTTGGGGAAGAAAGTCTGTGGCTTTTACCAGATACCTAAAAGGGCTAAGAGTCACTTTATATTATTTCTAAGGAAAGGAGCGGGTATTTTTTTCCTACCTCTACCAAGAGTTGCTCTCTCATACTTGTAAACGTCTATGAAAAGCAGATAGAAAGAGAATGCAAAACACTGCTGAATAATCTTGAGGTCTCTTAGTCTCAATGCTTGGTATTCTTTAGGTTAATTCTGGTGCTTCAAGGCCTTGAATGTAATGCTTGTTTAAGTTAGCAACAATAGTGAGTAGAAATATCTTCGATAAATTGAGTTCAGATTCAGATCTGCTGTTTCTAACTGAGTGGCCCACTTGGTCACTTCTCCTCCGTAAGTTTGTTTTTAATGAGATAATACAACTAGAACTAGTGGCACAGGTTGTGATGCATGGGAGGCACTCAATCAATAGTGGCCACTATTATTAACAATGAGATTATATTCTTCAAATTTTAGAAAGTTGGTATCATAGGGAAAACTAGGATCTAAGAACCGTTTAGTTTAGTGGTTGTGATGAGGGAGAGAGCTATAGGTCAAATTTCAATAAAATCCAATAACTTAGTTTTTGATTGCTAAGAATTGTGCAGATAAAATAACTGAAGTCTGTGCCATTTCATACTCCTGTTGTTGTGAAACATTGCACTTTACATTTAATGTGTTGAGTTACAGAGCATTGGATTTAATGAAAGCTGTATTCCTGAAAGCAGCATGATGAAGGCTATTCATCTAATGAGGTGCTACCCTTTATCGTAGAATTCAAAGCAAATATTTATTCTAAAGGTCAACCATGTTTATTTTTTAAGCTTCGAGGCTTATCTTTCTTGAAGTTGCCATTTTGACTCAACACTTTGTTTAAATTACATTAGTTTGACCACATAGATTTTTCTAATGACTTGTCGCAGTTAATAACCTTGCAAAAATCTTATTCAAGATTTTTAGACCTTTATTTTTATTATTGTAGGCTCTGCATTGACACTGATGTTTTATTGCTTTGTTTTTCCTTAAAAGCATTATACTTTCTATGCCCACATGACTATGTGGTTAAAGATCTGTCATTTCTTTCACAATTTCAGGGCGCTCCAGGCATATTTTTATTTAGTACCCCGAAGAAAACAATTTAGAAACAGATCTAGCTCTCTTTTCTCAGATACACAGATGTATGCCCCCACTTTATTGTAGGGTTTTTGAGTAATTCTGTGTTATCTTTTATTTGAACAATAATGGTTTGGAACTGGAGAAGTAGAGCCTTGACTTCTATTCTCTGCTGCTAACTAATCAGGCAACAATATGCATGCTATCTATGGTCTCTTCACACTTTCCTCCTACGTACTGAATGTAGGAAAGTGTAAGTGTTAGGAGAGCTGTGAGAAGTGGAAAGTTTTATCCCCTATAAGGTGATTTTATATTATATTGCGTTGTTCACTGATTTAGTCCAGTTAACCAAACTGGAGTGTATCCATTGTGAAGAGCCTCACTAGATCACGTCATAGACTTCAGTCACATTCCCATGTGCATGGTGACCCAGGATGCCTTTGTTCCAAATGGCAGTGAGAGTTTGGCCCTGGTGCTCTAAAAATTTTTAGTTGACGGAAATTACTACACATGGGTGGTAATAATGGCCTACCTTTCCAACCTCTTATTTGTGAGAAACACATGAGAGAGTTAATTAAGGCCCTTTAAATACCGTGAAAAATACTCTACATGAAGAAATTACTACCAGAGTGGAATTTTACTATACCTAAACCCAGAGGTTGCAGTATCCAAAGTGGCCTCTCTAAGCAATAATTCTTTTTCTATTAGCTACCGGCATTAAGACACTCTTTAGTCTGCACAAAGCAGGTCTGTGTTTGTTATTAAGGACTTAAAGTCTGTTTTTATTTTCATTATTATTTTTTATTGAATTTATTAGGGTGACATTGGTTAATAAAATTATATAGGTTTCAGGAGTACAATTCTGTAATACATTATCTGTATATTTTATTATGTGTAAAGTCTGTTTTTCTAACAAGTTAATTAAAAAACAAAACCCAGCAATGATAAAAATACCCATTAGCACCTTGGGATTATTGACAAACAGCATTTTGAAATTAAGACAATGCTTTCTAAGAGTTTGAAGGTGTTTACCTTTTCCTTTTAGTTATATAATTTTTGCAAAACCTGAGCATCAGTGAACCAAGGGGATAACTTAATATTAATGTCATATAAAATGTTATTTTTGCCCACACTTTATCACTAGAAAATTTCAGGCGAAATGATTTCCTTCTTACCTGCCCATCATCATTTCTTCATAATTTATTCAATAGGAACACATAGATAACTTAGGGAACTTAAAATGAATACAATTTTTTTAAAAAGTGCTAACATTAGATATATTTTTTAAAATATATTTTTATTGATTTCAGAGAGGAAGGGAGGGGGAGAGAGATGGAAACATCAGTGAGAGAGAATCTTTGATCTGTTGCCTCCTGCACGCCCCCTACTGGGGATCTAGCCCACCACCTGAGTATGCACCCTTGACCAGAATTGAACTTGGGACCCTTTAGTCTGCTGATGTTCTAGCCACTGAACCAAACCAGCTAGGGCCTTCTCAGTTCTTGTTATTTGAACTCTGAAGTTTCTGGCACCATTGACCACTTAATACTCACCTTTCCAATGGTTTCAGGGACACCAGGCTCCTATAATTTTCCTCTCACCTTTGTGACCAGTTCTTGTCATTTTTAAAGCCTATTTTCCCTCTTTCTTCCTGTTACTCTTTTCCTGGTGTCCCCCTTCATCATTTCTATCTCCCAGGATTATCTCATTTACTCTCAGTTCTATATATTTTGGTAACTTGCAGAGTTATGTTTTTAACCCCAACTTCTCTACCAGTGTCCCCTTTGTATCTGAAACTCAACTTGAGCAAAACAAGACTAGCTTATCACCCTGCCTTCCTGTAGATTCCTAATGTCAGTTAACTGTGATTTATCTTGAGCCAACATCTGATAATCATTTACAAATCCTGCTCTTTTGCATTTCACTGTACAACTCTTTATGTTCATGTCACGTAAAATTTAAGATTGTCAAATTTGGAAAAACGTCTTTAAAATTTCTTTAATATATGAGCTACAGGTTTTGAGGCATTTGAAGTTTTGTCCTGCAGTGAATAAACCTAACATACCTTTGCATTTTAACTGACAATCCTCATTAACTTGTTGATGTCTTCCCTTTAGTGGTGTCAAGTGGCAAAAGTAATACAATTTAGTAACCAGTTTGATGTTCTTTATTCAAGAGAAGGCAGTCCATGCATTGGGGGAAGTCAGTGCCTCACAAGCAGTGGGGCACTCTTCCCCAGGGATTTTGGACAAGAGCATGTTTTATAGAAGTTAGAAAAGCCTACATGGAAACAGGGAGTGATTGGTGAGGAGGTAGTGATTGGTGAGGCTAAGGTGTCCTACTTTCTAGGATAGGGTAAGCTAGTGAAAGCTGAATTGGAGGATTGTGATTACTTTTATGTTTCCTTGGCAGCGATGCATTTCCCATAAATGCAAGCTGACTTAGGTTTAGATTTGTGATGTCTTTTAATTGTAAGGACTTTCTACACTGTAGAAATATAGCATATTATGATATACAGACTTCTGGTTCTGTACATCTCAAACCTTGTTTGACCATGTCCTTTCTCATCGCTCTCATAATCTAGTGCTAGGTACAATGGTCCTCAATCGTATCATAATAAAATTTCATAATGCCTTATTGTCTTATCATCTTTTACAGGGGCCTCAGCCAGAAACTTCAAAGGGTAGAGGGAAAAGATATTTTCCCTCTCCTACATAGCCGATGAAGCTTAAGCTTTGGGTCCTGAGAGGAGCCCAGCAATATATTTCTGTGGACATATTATCGGGACGTTGGGATATTCCTAGAAGCCATTATGCAGAGAAAGAGACTTTTCTCTACCCTTCTAGGTTCTTTTGGCTGATCTGCTAAACAAATTGACATGAGACTGATTAGCAAGAGAAAATAATCAAGTTGAATTATACACACACACACACACACACACACACACATAGTGTCTCCATATACATGAGATAGTCCAAGACTCCACATACATGAGAGGTTCAGAGACAAAAAGTTAAAATGAGCAATAAAAGGCATTCTGAGCTAGGAATGAGGTAAGTCACCTTAGGGCTTCAGAGGGGAGGAAGGTCATTCAGATATTCAGTAATTATTAGAAGTTTACCCTGCTTTAGAGATAGGTCATAAACAGTTATTTCTGGTGATAACGGTTAGAATGGGCAAGAGCCCTAATTTTAAGTTCTTTAAGGGGGAGATAAAATTTTTTCTTAAGACTAAAGTGTCTTGATTGCTTTCAGCACAAAAAAAAGTCCACATACCAAAATAGCACACCTTGGGGAGTCTGTTCTGTATCCTTTCCACATCCTTATATTAAGGTAGCCTACAACAATTCTATTCAGAAATTACAATGAACAATCAGTATTTTCCATTAAACCCAAAGCAAATATGTTTTTAAAAAAACTTTCCTTCAGCTCAGTCTAGTCTCATCTGAGAAGAGGGGAAGTATAATACACTGTAGGAGTGAAGAGACAGAACTTTCAACTGATTGTGATTAGTAGGGGAGGAAAAATCGTTTTCACTCTACCCTTCTGAGTTTTCTGCAGAGAGCCCTGGAACAAAAGATTGACAAGAGGAAAACCAATAAAAGTT